TGAATGACGCGCTCGGCTTCGACCAGGTGCTAGCGGCGGTTCAACCTCTCTCCGACACACTGCCGGACTTTCCTCATGCTGTCGGTGAACTTACTGCTCAACTGAAGATCTCTCGGGAGGAAGCTGCCGCTGCCAAGCGTTTGCTGGTTCCTGTCCAGCTCCGAGTTGAGTCTCTGGAGACTCTTCTCAACAAATCGACGGCTGAGGTGAATGAGCTTCAAGCGGAGATCAAGCGTCTCAAGTCAGCGAACGTTCGCATTGGCTCTTTGCTCGAGAAGAGCAAGGAATCGATGGACGTTCAGACCGAGAACCTCCGGCTCGCCATGAACTATGCCGAGCAGAAGCAGGATATCATCGACGCCTTGGACAAGCAGATTGAGAAGGAGCGCGAGGTCTTCAAGACGACGGTCAGTGCGAACACCGAAAACACTCGCAAGCTCCATGACCTGCTGCTCAAGGCCACGCAGGGTACCTGGGTCGATGCCGACACTGCTGCGCTGATCGCTGACCTAAAAGACCGCAATTTGCGCTTACTCCGGACCAACCGCGCTCTCCGAGGGTTCGTTAGCTTCGCTGGCATGGATCCCAACACTCTCGCTCTCGCCATCCAAGGTCCGCTAGTGCTCTTGATGTTCCGTCTGATCACTCGTTCGCTAACTCGTGTTCGTTCTTTCATGTTGTAGGCCTCCGAGCGGCCGAAGTCGACCTTTCATCACTCGGCCTTGACCAGGACACATTCCTCGCTCTCCAGCGATTCCAGCAAGAGGCCGGCGACCAAGAAGATCCGTTCGCCCTTGCTGAAGCCTTGGCCAAGACTGCTCAACAAGTTCAGAGCAGCACCCCCAAGCGCAGCCGCCATGGGGGTGACGCTGGTGACTCCGAGGATTCATCTGAAGAAAAGACTCCGGTTCCATCTGGTCGAGCTAGTAGAGCAAGGTCGGCGGCTGGCTCTGGCGAAGAATCGGCTGCGGCTGCTTCGAGTCCGACTCCCAGTCGCCGAGGTCTCCACATGCCAAAGGCTTGGAAGAACAAGCCGAAGTCCAAGCGTCAGAAAACTGCTTCGCACTCGCCGGCATCCGCTCGTTCGCGCTCCAGCCTAGCTTCTCGCCGCTCGACGTCTCGGCTGCCCGCGCGTTCGCCTTCGGCGGCCCACGCTAAATCGCCCGCGAGTCACCCGAGGTCTCGTTCGCATTCTGTGTCCAGTCGTCCGGCCAGGTCGAAGTCTCCCGCATCTCCACCGTCTGTTCCTGCTAGTCCTCCCAAGGCTGAACCGTCAAAAGACGACCAACCTTCTGAGGTCGTGGACTTAACGAGAGATGAGAGTGACGAGGACATGGAAGAGGAACCAACTGCGGTTCCTACGGAGCCCGAAGATACGGAGGTGACTCGCCTGGCTTCACCAACTCATCCGGCGACTTCCCAACGCAGTAACGTGGCTTCTTCCTCATCTCGCGCTTCTTCGCCACCGGTTGGTGCTTCCCAACAAGCTCTTACCTCTTACGAGCTCGAGATGCAGTTATTATTTGGATCCGACGACGATGAGGAAGCTCCAAGCGGTTCGAAGGAGTCTCGTGAACCTGCTGGGCTGGTGTCACCTTATCGTTCGTCCTCTGATGAAGATACCCCATCGCCTCCCAAGCGTTCGGACAGCACACCAATCTCCAAGCAACCTTCGGTTCCACCTTCTCAATCCCCTGATTCTTCCGATGGCGACGAGGGTGACTCCAGCAATGATTCTCACGACGGTGATGGAGCTGGTGGAGTTGATCCTCGAGACGACGAGCCTTCGTTTGATTTTCCTTCTGGTGATACTGCTGGTGATGAAGATATTCCGTCGTCGACCGACATTTCTCGTGCATCTGCAGTTGTCGAGGGTTCCGTTACCAGTGTTCCGACTACTTCTTCCCCAGGGGCTCCCCGAGGCTACGAATCATCTCCTCTGGTTGGTGATTCCGCAGCTCGTGAAACCTCGTCTGTGGCGCCTCAAGCTTCGTCTCCACTGTCAAGAGTTCTCACGAGTCCAACGACTACTCGTCATCATCCTCCGCCTCCGGGGTCTGCACTGAGCCAGGCTTCGCTTGTTCCCCAGGAGGCTGGTCCCGGGCGAATAATCGTTGCTACGTACACTTCTCGCCGTCGGCGTGGTGATCCAGACCCTCCAGTGCCTCT